TCAGCGTCCATGAGGGCAGAGACCTAATCTCTTCCTGCTTTATCCTCCTGGATGCACACAGTGGCTGCTCAGTAAGCACTAAGAGGGTGAGTGGAACTTGATGATGCCAGGTGTTTGGCCAGAGGAGTCGATAGACGCGGCGGGATGCTGAGGAGGGTTAGGGGGGTTTCTGATAGTGGAGTGCTGACACGACTGCCCTCCAGGGGTCAGAGGGAGGTGACGCCTGGCTGCTTGCAATGCCTGTAGGTTCCAGCGTGGCGCCACATTCCAGAGTGGCCCAGCAACCCCCTCCGTGAGTCAGAGCACTGGAAGGGTGCCCATGCAGGTCCAGCATGACTGAGGCCTAGCGAAAGGCTGCAGGGATACGGGAGTTGCCTGAGAGGTGGGGGTGCTCCCCCGTCCCTCCCAACTCATCCTCACAGCAGCACCCTCATGGCCCACCCTCTGGGCCCCCTGCAACATCAGGACGGGGAGGAAAGCGAAGATGCAGAGAGAACTGTGGGCACGGGAGTTTGCAGGGGTCTCGTCCACACCAAGATTTGTCTTTTTCTTGCTATTTTTTTTTGGGGGGGCCACACCTGACTGTGCTCAGGGCTTACTCCTCTGCACTCAAGGGATCACCTCTGGCAGTGCTCAGGGAACTGTATGGATTGCCGGGCCCTGAGCCCAAGTTGACCGTATACAAGGTAGACACCTTATCTGCTGGCTTGCCCCGCAAACCAGGATTTGCTTTTCTTTTTTTTTTTCCTTCTTTTTGACTTTTTTGGGTCACACCCAGCGATGCACGGGTGTTACTCCTGGCTCTGCACTCAGGAATGACTCCTGGCGGTGCTCAGGGGACCATATGGGATGCCGGGGATCAAACCCAGGTTGACTGCGTGCAAAGCAAACGCCCTCTCCACCGTGCACCGTTACACCGGGGTTTTCTGCAGAGTGAGGCAAGCACTTTTATTTTCAAGTCTCCAGATACAAGAGAACTAACAAATGCCCAGACAGATTTCAGACACTCGTGGGCCTGCATTTCTGCACTGAACACACATTATTAATTAATTATATTTTGCTTTTTGGATCACACCTAGCAATACTCAAGTGTTACTCCTGGCTGTACACTCAGGAATTACTCCTGGCAGTGCTCAGGATATCATATGGGATGCTGAGGATCGAATCCTGGTTGGCAAATGCCCTGCCCGCTGTACTATCACTCCGCCCTCCCCCTTTTATTTTGTTTCTTTTTTGTTGGTTTTTTTTTGGGGAGGCCACACCCAGCTGTGCTCAGGGTCTTACTCCTGACTCTGTGCTCAGGAGTCACTCTTGGTGGTGCTCAGGGGATAATACGAGATGCTGAGGATTGAACCTGGGTCGGTTGTGTGCAAGGCAAGCATCCTTCCCACTGTACTACCTCTCTGACCCTGTGAACACATGAGTACTTTCATACATATTTTTTCAACGTGCAGTGCAGGGGGCCTTTGCATTGGGAAGCAGTGGCTTGTGTTCGATGGATTGGGCATGCAGGGAAGTTGTGATGGGCGCAGTCTCTCCCCCACTACCAGCAGGTCTCCAAGACTCTGTGGGGCCCATTGGGAAATTTAAAGGTTGTGGCTGTTTGTGAGTGGGAGGTGAAAGGCATGTGGCTGCCCTGAGACAAGCCCGGATCAGTCCCTCTGTACCTCAGTGTTTTGATCTGAAAAAATGGGCCACTTCTTAATACATGACATGAAAGACCATGGATGAAACAGTGCTGAACACTGACAGGGAATGACCATTGACAACACAGTGCTGAACACTGACAGGGAATGACCGTGGATGAAGCAGTGATGACCAGTGACACGGAATGATAGTGGATGAAACAGTGCTGACAGCTGCTTGACTTATCCAGCGGAGCCGAGAGCCAATCCCAAAGCTCCCCCTCTTTGTTCACCACCCATAAGCTCATCTCTTAGGAAGGTTCCAGAAATTCTGCTTAGAAAACTTATCCCTTGAAAGCCGAAATGGGATTTTTCTTCCCAAATCCGTTCCTTGGGGGAAGTCTTCACAGAGAATTCTTGTAATTTCCTGTTATAAAATTTTATGTGCAATTACAAACAATGAACTGTGAACATTAATTGGGCAGACCGGGAGATTTTCTGTTTTTAAATCACTGACTATTTTAAGACCTCCCAGACCAGAAGGAAGTGGCCAGAGGAAATAAGCTTCCAGAGGGAGGCCCAGGCAATGGCTCAGCCTGCCTGTGTCGGGGGTCCTCCGGGAAGGAGGGTGGATGTACTGTGCCTGGTAGAACGGGGTGTGGCCGTGTGCTTCTCAACTCTCCCTATGCACAGCGTGTGTGGATCATGGTTTTCTACCCACTCTGCCTGCCTGGGACGGAGCTGAGTTTCATCCATCCACTCGTCTCCCTCTCCATTTATCCATCCATCCATCCATCCATTCATCCATCCACCCATCCACGCACTCTCTCCATTTATTCATCCATCCATCCACCCATCTCTGAATTTATCCATTCATTTATTTATCCATCCATCCATCCATCTCTGAATTCATCCATCCATCCATCTATCCATCATCCACATATCTCTCCATTTATCTATTCATTTATCCACCCATCCATCCATTTCCATCAATCCATTCATCCATCTCTCCATTTATCCATCCATCCACCCATCCACCCATCTACCCAGCTCTCTCCATTTACCTATTCATCCATCCATCCACCCATCCACGCACTCTCTCCATTTATTCATCCATCCATCCATCTCTGAATTTATCCATCCATCCATCCATCTATCCATCCATCCATATATCTCTCCATTTATCTATCCATTCATCCACCATCCATCCATTTCCATCAATCCATTCATCCATCTCTCCATTTATCCATCCATCCATCCATCTATTCACCCATTTATCTTTTATTTATTGAATCATTGTGAGATACACAGTTACAAAGTTGTTCATGATTGGGTTTCAGTTACACAATGTTCTAACACTCATCCCTTTCCCAGTTTCCACCCATCTTAAATCTTTCTCTGTTCATCCATTCATTCATTCATCTATCCATCATCAATCCACCCACCCATCTCCCTCCATCCATCCATTCATCCATCCATGCACCCATTCATCAATCCCTCCTCCCTCTCCACTTCCCTACCGGCCACCCTTCCCCTTGTCATCCATCCACCCAATGAAAAACAGTTTTAATTGGCTGTCTACTGTGTACCGAATTCTGGGTATAAAACTGTAAACAAGATGGATAACCCCCACTCCTTTCCTGGAGCTGACTTTTATTTTTTATTCTGTTTTTTCTTCCTTTTCCTTTTTCCTTTTCTTTTCTTTTCTCCCCGCTCCTTTTTTCTTTTTCTTTCTTTCTTTCCTTTTTTTCTTGGTTATTGGGCACACTAGACATGCTCAGAGCTTACTCCTGGCTCTGTGCTCAGGGAACACTTCTAGCTGTGCTGGGGATCAGAGGGAGACCATATGCAGTAGGGCAGGGGATCAAACCAGATTCTGTTGCATGCAAGGCAAGTGCCTTAACCCCTTGACTATCTCTCTGGCCCACGGAACTGACATTTTAGCAAGGGAGACCAAGAGTAGATACAATTAAAAAATAAATAAATAAAAAGAACAGGCTAGTAGGAGGTGTGAGGCTGAGGTATAGTACAGCTGGTAGAGCACTTGCCTTGTATGTGGCCAGCCAGGTTCGATCCCCAGCATGGTATGGTCCCCCAAGCCCTGCCGAAAGTGAACCCTGAGCAGAGCCAGGAATAAACCCTGAACATAGCGGTCCCCAAAATGCAAATAAACAGGAAAGGTGCTTTGGAAGAAAACTAATTCTTAGGATGGGGTTGAGATGGAACGAACTGTATGGCAGATGGAGCAATAGGATGGAGAGGGAGGTGCTGAGGACAGGATTTTGCTTTCTTTTGTTTTGGGGCCACACCTGGTGATGCTCAGGGCTTCCTCCAGGCTCTGTGCTCAGGGATCACTCCTGGGAGAGCTCCAGAAACCGTAGGCAGTTCTGGGGGATGGAACCCAGGTCAGCTATGGGGAAAGCAAGTGTCCTGCCCGCTCTGCCATTGCTCCAGCCCTGGGATGAGGTGTTTGAGCAAAGATCTGAAGGATGTCTGGGCGGGGGGTATCTCGGGGCAGAAGTACAAGAGCGGGTCCCGTGACCCAGGTAAGGCATGCATCTCGCCTTCCGAGGACTGTCCCCAACAGTCACCACGTGTCAGTCCCCACGGCCGGCTGTAGTCTAAGTGTCATTCATACTCAGATATCCTGAGAGCGGGAGAGCCCCCTTCATGCACCCTGATTAGTCTCCTGTTGTAATGTCTATTTTACTATTAGCCATCATTATTAATTCCTTACTGTGCCCCATTCATAAATTGGCTCTGTCAGAGTCCTATTCCTCTATGGAGAAGCCACATAAGGGAAGTTAGGGAATACTCCGTCTCACTCCCCTCTAATAGTCTTAGAACGGACCCCCTGTGGGCAAGGGTCCTGCACCCAGGGAGGGCAGGGTTTTCCCGTGTTCCAGAGAAGTACCATGCACTGGCCCGCTTTTGACTTTGTTTATTTATTTAAATTTAAATTTTATTATTATAATGTTCACAATAAGTTATCACATTCAATATTCCAACACCAATCCCACCAACCAATCCCAACCAATTCCCACCAATTCCAACACCTTCCCACCACCATTCTTTCAAATCTTCCCAGCTACCAACCAAGCCCGCCCCAATTGCAGGCCCTAAATAATTTATTTTGTATTGTTTGTTGTGAATCATCTGCTAAAAATGATTAAAAAAAAAGATTGTTATATCTCACCCTGGAGTCATTAAGCCCTTGAATAAGAGATTACTAACATGTTGTTATAGGTTGAACCTTGTGTGCTAATGTATATATATACACTGTAGCACTGTCGTCCCGTTAATCATCAATTTGCTCAAGCGGGCACCAGTAGCATCTCCATTTGTCCTAGCCCTGAGATTTTAGCATCATAAACTTCATGCCCTCTCTCCGCGGATGTGGCACGCCAGCTGGATGTCCTTGGGCATAATGGTGACAGGCTTGGCGTGGATGGTGCAAAGGTTGGTGTCCTCGAAGAACCCCACCAGGTAGGCCTTGCACGCCTCCTGCCGCTCCATGACAGCCAAGCTCTGAGAGCGCAGGTTGGTCTTGAATTCCTGCGCGATCTCTCTCACCAGTTGCTGGAAGGGCAGCTTGCAGATAAGCAGCTCAGTGGACTTCCGGTAGCGGCGGATCTCAAGCAGCATCATGGTGTGGGACCGGTAGCACTGCGGCTTCTTCATGCTGCCCATGGCTGGAGTACTCTTGCAGGCCACCTTGGTGGCCAGCTGCTTGCAGGGCATCTTCCCACCCATTGGCTTGCATACCGTCTGCTAGTACGAGTCCTCTCGTTCCTCTCAACTCAGCTGGAGTCTCCTTCAGGGTTAGAGACCTGTTTTAGCTACTGTTGTTGGCATATTTGGTACATCATGGGTAGCTTGCCAGGTTCTGCCATGTGGGCTGGATACCCTCGGTAGCTTGCCATGGCGGGGGAGAATAGAGGCTTTTGAGGCGATCTCTAATCGTCCCTGTAGGTGTTCCCAGCCTACCAAATGTAAGTTCCTGGTGACTGGCCTGCTGTAACGATTTGCATGCTGACAACACACCTGCCTGTGTCTCCGGGCAGCACCTGGGATATCTGCGGCCTCAGGTTGATCTCCTTGAGTGGATGGAGTGTGCCCAGAGGTCATTGAATAGCTGGCAGAGCAAGACCCCATCACATAGGGTCTGTGCCAGGTCGAACACCTGTGCCGAGTCCCAAGTCACTCGGTTGGCGGACAGTATCCTGCAGTGGATAAGCTACTGTGTGGACTACTGTCACTGTTCCATGCTCCACGGTGTTGTGACTTGGCCTGGCCAGGTGAGGCAGTGATGCTGCAGCCACCACTGCAGTTTTTCCTTGCCCCACCAACGCCATTCTGTCTTAATCCAACAAAGCAGCTGATGATGTCCAGCAGGAATCATGCGCAGAGTTCCAGAATTCCATGCCTGGCGTGCTGAATCACGTGTCATCCAGAGTGAGATGGTGAACTGGGTTCAGGAGAGCATGAGGGGTTCGACCTATGTTGGCACCATCTTGCCTCCAAGATGGAGTTGGAAGCATATATATATATATTTTTTTTTAATTGAGATTGGTTGTCTTCTACTTTATACCCCATCTGTTGTGGTATGCTACTTCTGATACATCAGTGGTGTAGAGTATGAGGTGTCTCATGGCCTCAAATGTGGCTGCGCACTCCAGGAATTTGCTTTGGATTTTAGACAACTGTAGCTCACAGTGCTCCGAGGACCGTATGGTGCTCAGGATGGAATCAGATCTCCATCTGCAGTCTGTATTCCACCACTGGGCATCTCCCAGCTCCCATCTCTCGCCCTTGCTGAAGCCACTACATAGACGTGTACACATGTGCGCACGCACACACACACAGCAGTCAGAGCCTGAAAGGTGGCTAGTCTGAGTCGAAGTGTGTGTGTGTGTTCACACTGATGTTAAAGATTCACTGTTATGGGGGCTGGAACGATAGTACAGTGGGTAGGGGTGCTTGCCTTGCACACAACTGACCTGGGTTTGATCCCCAGCACCCTTAATGGTCCCCAAGCCAGCCAGGAATGATTTCTGAGCACAGAGCCAGAAGTAATTCCTGAGCATCACTGGGTGTGGCTTAAAAACCAAAAGAAAGGGAGAGATGATACAGTGGGTAGAGTATTCACCTTGTACTCAGCCCATCCAGGTTTGATCCCCAGGATCCCATATAGTCACCCGAGTTTCCAGGAGAGATTTCTGAGTGCAGAGCCAGGAGTAAGCCCTGAGCACTGCCTGATGTGGCCCCCCAAAACAACAAAAGCAAAAGAAAAATAATAATAAAATTAAAATCAAGACTCACTGTGAAATAAAGAAGGTGACCTACCTTGTTAACTGTTTTCAGACCCTGATTAGGTGTTGAAATGACAGCATTGAGGATCACAGCAACCTTGGATGTTGGTGGCAAGTTCTCCAACACTGGACTCGAGACTGAGGGACTTGAGCAGTCAGAGACTGAGCAGCGGGCAGGGATCCTGTTTTCCAGGGATGCTTAGGGAGTACTGGAGTTAAGTGTGGGGGGCTAGGTACAAGTCACACGTGGGCTTTCAGCCGCGAGGAGGAGAGGTTGGCACTTCTGTCTCCTGCCTTGTTCAAGGCTCAGCCACTCTTGGTTAAAGTGAGCATCATCAAAATTAATTTTCTGTTTATTTACACTTTTTTTTGTGACTCTGTTGGAAAAAAATTGTGAGTTTGCGAGTCAGAGTATAGCAGGCAGGGAGCTTGCCTTAATTGAGACTGACCTGGGTTCATTCCCGGCACCCCATAGGTCCCTTGAAACCATCAGGAGTGATTTCTGAGCACAGAGTCAGGGGTAGCTCCTGAGCACAGCTGGGTGGAAAGAGAAAGAAAGAGAAAAAGTAAGAAAGAAGGAAGGGAAGGAAGGAGGGAGGAAGGAAAGAAAGAGAAAGAAAAGAAAAAGAAAGGGAGGGAGGAAGGTAGGAAGAGAGAAAGGAGGGAGGGAAAGAGAAAGGAAGGAAGGAAGGAAGGAAGGAAGGAAGGAAGGAAGGAAGGAAGGAAGGAAAAATTGCATACATGGCTTATGGTTTGCTTCCTTTTGCTTTGGGTTTTGGGGTCACACCCAGAGTAATTTGAGGCTACTCCCTGCTCTGTGCTCGACTCACTCCCGGCCCTTTGCTTGGATGAGCACATATAGTGCCTGGTATTGAACTGGGTCCAGCTGCATGCAAGACAATGGCATTAACCCCTGTATCATCTCTCCACCCACACCCCCATTTTGTTTTTATTGGACTACATGCAGCACTCAGGAACATGCCTCAAAGAACAGAAACAGAGACAGGAAGTCAGAGCTCTAACTTGAGTCATGGGCTCAGAAAGATAACACAGCAGGAAGGGCACTTGCTTTGCCCACGGTTGACCTGGGGTCCATCCCCCGCACACCCTCCTCTGATTCCCTGAGTCCTGTTAGGAGTGATCCCTGAGCAGAGAGCCAGGAGTAAGCCCTGAGCACTGCTGGGTAGGGCCCCCAAACCCAAACCAAACCAAACAGAATACATAACCAAGCCAAGGAGTACAGGGGTGAGAAGTGTGTGTGTGTGTGTGTGTGTGTGTGTGTGTGTGTGTGTGTGTGTGTGTTGGGGGGCGTGGTCCCAGGCGCCATGTGAAACTCTCTGTAACTGGGCCCCAGGGGCCTGGCTTCACAGGCATGTGGAAGGAGTACTTAGCGTGGGCCTTGCCCGTGGGCTGGGGCGAGGAGCTGTTTGGGAAGGAAGCTGGGGCTTGTGGGAAGCCAGGGCAGCGCCTAGGACTGGCCAGTGGGTGGCTCCAGGTCTCTACTTGCTCAGTGACAAAGTGGGAGCAGTAGACCCCCCACACCCATAGCCATGAGCCCAAACAGCCGTGGAGCAACTGGCATGGACTCGGGGTGCCCTTGATGGGGTGCCCTTCATAGAGGCCGGGGCTATGAGCAGACCAGGGCCTGGGCACCTCCGCAGGGACAGCTGGGCTTGTAACTTCAGGAGAAGTTGCCAGAGAAGAAAGTGACTTTAGGGCAGCAGGGCTGCTGGAGGAAGCAGGAAGACCCCCCAGAATCCTGGCTGGGTTGGAGGCACCAGGAATTGGTGAGTGGAGGGAACTTTGGAGTGCAAGTTGGGGAGCCCGAGGGCCTAACCCTGGGAGGGAGCTCAGAGAGGAGAGGCCAGGCTGTGTGCCCTGCTGAGCTTGGGGTGGAAGGGACTTCCCTCCCTCCTGTTTCCCCTCAGCCTGGTGGTGAGCAGGACACCCAGCAGGGGGCGCTGCAGTGACGCCCTGGTCCCTCCGTCCACACCCTGCAGACATCTGCCCTGCAGGCAATGCCCCTCAGCCCTGGCCTCCATGGTCTGCACCTAGCATCCTGCCACGCTGGCCCCACTCCGCAGCTAGAGGGAGCTTTGACCAATAGAAATCAGATGATTTGGAGCCAGAGAATGGCACTTGCCTTGCACATGGCTGACCCGGGTTCTGTCCCCACCCGGACCCAGGTTCTGTTCCCACCCCGAGGGATCTCTGAGCTCAGAGCCAGGAGGAAGCCCTGAGCACAGCCGATGTGCATCTCCCTGGTCCCCCCAAAAGAAAACCAGACGAAAAAGAAAAAAAAATAAAACCAGACGATTTGTTCTGATTATATTCTGGTTGACACCTTCTCAGGCTTTTGTCATACATGCTCTTTTTTCCTTCTTGTTTGTTTGTTTTTTGGGGGGGACTATACTCAGGCATTACTCCTGGCTCTGCACACTCAGGGATCACTGCTGGCGGTGCTCAGGGAACCATGTGGGATGCTGGGGAATGGAACCCGGGTCAGCCACATGCAAGGCAAGCGCCCTCCCTGCTCTGCTGTGGCTCCAGCCCCTCCCAATGTCTCTCTTGCTCGTGTACTTGGTGGTCTGTGACTTGTGTCTCCTGCTGTACCTGTCCCCCAGCCACACCTGAGCAGCCCCAACCTGAGCAGAGGAACGGCTTGTGGGGCTAGAGTGATATAGCACAGGGGGGAGGGTGTTGACCTTGCAGGCGACCGACCTGGGTTCGATCCCCCGCATCCCATAGGGTCCCCTGAGCATTGCCAGGAGGGATTCCTGAGTGCGTAAACCAGGAATGACCCCTGAGCATTGCCAGGTATGGCCAAAAAAGCTAAAGATTAAAAAAATTATAATCTTGGGCGTTTCTGCTAACCCAGGCTCCGGCTGTTGAGCTGTGTCCTTCAGGGCCAGCTCTGCCAGTAACCGGCTATGTCCTCTGGGTCACGTCCTGTCCAGCCTGAAGCCATGTTGGATTCGTGTTTGTGAGGCCCCGCGGTTCTGCCCATCAAGGTTGCAGTTCGGGTGCGTCCTCGGTGCTCTCTAGAGGATTTAAGCCCTGCTGTTCCCGCGGGACACCTTGCGTTCTGCACCTCTGACTTTGCCATTAAAAAAAAAAAACACATGTATGCCCTATGTTTTCCTTTATTTCTCTTTCCCTCTCTGGTTTTGTGTGTGTGTGTGTGTGTGTGTGTGTGTGTGTGTGTGTGTGTGTGTGTGTTTGGGGGCCACACCCGGTGGCACTTAGAGCTTAATTCCTGGCTCTGCACTCAGACTCACTCCTGATGGTGCTCAGGGACCATCGGGGTGTTGAAGATTGAACCCCACGCAAGTGCAGGCAAGGCAAGTGCCCTGCCCACTGTACTATCTCTTGGTCCCTTTTATTTTTCTTCTTTTTTTAAGTTTAAATTGTACTTATTTTTTGGGGGGACACATTTGTAGGTCCTCAGGGGTTACTCCTGGCTTTGCACTGAGGAATTACTTCTGCCTGTGCTTGGGGATCATATGGGATGCCAGGGGCTGGGGGATTGAACCCGGGTCAGCTGCATGCAAGGCTAGTGCCCTACCCACTGTACTATTGCTCCGGTGCCTTATTTTTCTTCTTAAGTTGGGATTTTGTGTTAGGAGTAGGTTTGGGGAAGGGTTGCAAAGTACATAGTTGTTATTACTACTGCTGTTATGTCTGGTTTGGGGGCCACACCAAGCCTTGCTCTGAGGCTCCTCCCAGCTCCATGCTCTGGGGTGCTTCTGCTGGTGCTTGGTGGGGGTAGGGGGGGGAGATGAGTCAGGGATCAAAGCACGCTCCCCCTGTGAGCTGTCTCCTGGGCCCACACACCACCTCCTACAGCTGTTTCAGTGAGCACTGGGGCTGGAGAGACAGTGCAAAGGTTAAGGCCTGCTAGCATGCAACTGTAACTACCTCAATTTTGCTTTGTTTTGTTTTTGTTTAATTAATTATTTACTTATTTTTGGCTTTTTGGGTCACACCTGGCAATGCTCAGGAATTGCTCCTGGCTCTTGCACACAAGAATTACTCCTGGTGGTGCTCGGGGGACCATATGGGATGCTGGGGATCGAACCCTGGTTGGCCGCGTGCAGGGAAACGCCCTACCCGCTGTGCTATCGCTCCAGCCCCACTACCTCAATCTTGGCTCAAGTCCCTGCACTGCAGATGGTCCCCTGAGAACTGCCAGGAGTGACCCTGAGCACAGAGTCAGAAGGAGCCCCTGAGCACTGCCAGGTATGTGCCCCCCTCCCCCGCAAAAAAAAAAATAAAACCCTCTAAATGAATTTGAAAAACACCACGTCTTGGGGCTGGAGCAATAGTGACTGCAGGCACTTGCCTTGCGCGTGGCTGACCCAGGTTCAGTCCTCAACATCTGCCCATCCCATAAGGTCCTCTGAGCCCCGCCAGGAATAATTCCTGAGTGCAGAGCCAGGAGTAACCCCTGACCATTGCCAGGTATGGCCCAAATTACTCCCCATTCCCTGCTCCTCACCCCCAAATAATAACCCACCACCCTTGCGGCCAGAGAGATAGTTCAGCAGGCAAGGTGCTTGCCTTGAACAGTCCCAACATAAGTTTAATCCTCAGCACCACATAAGGCCCCCAAGCCTCCTCCCCCCACCCCCCCACCCCCCCGCTCCAACAGTGATCCCTGAGCGTCGAGCCAGGAGTAAGTCTGAGCCACACAGGAGATGCCACGTGGAACGGGGTCCGCAGAGAAGCTCGTGGTTGTAAACAATAGTATCACCCAAAAGGTGGCCCCCAAATGGGTCTTTGCACCCAGGGGCCACTGGGCCAAGTGTCTCTTCCTGTCTCATCCCGGGGGTGCCTCCCCACCGTGCTCATCTACTGAAACTCTCTCTCAGCCCCCACACTCTGCTCGACGGCCGTTCCTCCCTGGTCCCACCTCCCCAGTCTCCCACCCTGTGCCCCCAACCCACTGGTTCTTAGCACTTCTCACGTGGGGGGCTGTGGAGGTGAAGGGGGCACCCTCTATGCTTTTTCTTCTGGTGGGCACGACCTCCAGCAGAATGCTGCCGTCCCAGGGCTAGAGTGATAGCACAGTGGGTAGGGCGTTTGCCTTGCACGCAGCCAACCCGGGTTCGATTCCCAGCATCCCATATGGTCCCCCGAGCACCGCCAGGAGTGATTCCTGAGTGCAGAGCCAGGAGTAACCCCTGTGTATCACCGGGTGTGACCCAAAAAGCCAAATAAATATTTAAAGTTTTTTTTTTTAAATAAAATGCTGCCGTCCCTTCTGTTTGTGGACAGATTATGTGCCCTCAGCTTCGAAGTGGGGGACAAGGAGAGAGGCTAGAGCTCGTGGCAGCCCCAGCCTCCAGGCCTCTCCCGGGGCTGGGACTGGGTGAGGGGTGTCTGTGTACCCGCAGATGGGCGAGGCTGGTTTGTAGGAGCTTTGGGGCTATGAGGGCCATGTCAGTCAGTGCCTGTTGGGAGGTGGGGTGGTCCCTGGCTGCCACATATCCCCGTTCTTCCGTTAACGATAAGCACCTGAGCTCAGTCCTGCCAAGAAGCAGGTCGGCCTTGGAAGGTCCAGAGAAGATCCTCAAGTCCAGCCCTGGGCCTTGGCTTCCTGCCCAGTTTAGCTCTGCAGGAAAGAGGAGAAGGCAGAGCCCAGAGCGTCTGCCCGCCTCTCCACCCATCCCTGCTTCTGGAGCTGCTCCCCCACCCCCCTCCGCTGCAGATGAAGGACAGACACAGACTGGACAGGCTGACGCTCAGGCCCGGGAAGGTGCCTTCAGAGGCTGGACGAGTCAGCGGTGCCTCAGCAAAGGCTCTTCCAGCCCCTCCTGCAGCTGAGAAAACACCTCCAGGGCAGGGCCGACGCAGGCTGGTCCCCACGGAGGCCGGAGCTCTCTGGGGCCCCGGGGACCCACCTTGGAAAGAGTGAGCCCAGCCAGGCTCTGTCATCTGGGGCCGCACACCTGGGGGCCAGAGCCCTGGGAAACTTTTCCGAGCAACTTTCCAGTGGTCTGAGAGCTTCCCCCGGGGATGCCTGAGGCTGCTTCTCGAGTTGCATCTCCCATGGGTGCGGGGCCCTAGGGACGGGGCCCTGGGTGATTGGAGCCGCCGAGCCCCGGGCCCCCACGGGCCCCCTCCCAGCAGGGCCCTGACCCCGCAGCCTCTCTTTCCAGGCCTTTCCCTGGGAGACCGCTCCCTTCCCGGCCGCCCGGGTTGCCGAGCAGAGGCCCCCGGGGCTCCCGGGCCTGGTTGCCAGGTCCCCCCCTCTGTGACTGGGGCCCTATTCCCCAGACACCGGGAGGGTGGGCCCCCACCCTGGGGCAGCGAGCGGCCGGGTGGAACGTGATCCGCAGAGCGGCTGAGGCCTCCGCCAGCAGCTTGCCCGGGCGCCTCCGGGGCTGCGTCTGTCGTGTCTGTGCCCCCACAATCCTGCTCACCCGCCTGTGCCCACCACCCCAAGTCGTACTCCCCTCCCCCGGGGTCCATCCCCCGACTCTCCACGTGGGAGCTCGAGCGTCCCCTGTGTGCAGACCCGAGCCAGGCTGGTGGCCTGGGTGGAGGAGAGAGCGACCTCCAGGAGCCCTAGGAACGGGCAGCTGACAGACAAAGGGCGACAAAGGGCGGTGTCCAGGCCTGGGGAAGCTGGTTTCGGGGTTGGGTGCACACACATAGGAGCCCGGGGTTCGATCCCCAGCACCGCCCGTTGTGGCCATAGAGGCCAGCAACAAATAAAGTGAGAGCCGGAGAGCTCGTCTAGAGGGGAAGGTACCTGCCTTGTCCGGCACCATATCGGGTCTCCCAAACTCCTCCAGGAGCGAGCCCTGAGCACAGAGCCAGGAGCAAGCCCTGAGCAACTACAGGATGAAAACTAAAATGGGAACAAATATGAAAGCATCATGTTTTCCCCTGGCTGGAGCTATCGATAGCACAGTTGGTAGGGCGTTCGCCTTGCATGCGGCTGACCCAGCCAACCTGGGTTCGATTCTTCCACCCCTCTCGGAGAGCCCGGCAAGCTACCGAGAGTATCTCGCCTGCACGGCAAAGCCTGGCAAGCTCCCCGTGGCGTATTCCATATGCCAAACACAGTAACCACAAGTCTCACAATGGAGACGTTACTGGGCCCACCCGAGCAAATCGACGAACAACGGGAGGACAGTGCATGTTTTCCCAAAGTGGCAGGGACTCTGGTGGCAGGAAATGTGTGATTGAACAGAAGGGGATGCCATGGGAAATCGGAAGGGTGTGGGGTGGCCGTGCCCAGGAGGACCCTGAGACAACGTTCCAGGGACAGGACACACATACCACGGCCAGAGAGTCAAAGGGCAGTCCAAGGGGATCCCTAGTGGCAGGGGCTTCTGCAGGTCAGTGGGTGCAGGGGGGGTTGTTAGGGTGGTCAGAGAGGCCACAGGAGAGAGTGAGCAGAGGACCGTGGTGAGCGGCTGCACATGGAGAGAATATGGTTCTGGGGTTCTGAGGAGAGCAATCTGGGGTAACAAGTGGCAGAGAAGGAGGCTCCTCAGGAAGAAGAACAGGGCTGTAGAGTGAGGCCAGATAGCTGGACTTGCTGGACACCCCGCCCCTGAGCACCACAGAGTGTGACCACTGGTCTTCTTCCTTTTTGTTTGTTTTGGGGTCACACCCTATGGTGCTAGGGGCTGGCTCCTGGCTCTGTGCTCAGAGATTACTCCAGGCAGGGCTTAGTGGACCAGATGAGGTGCCGGGGATCGAACCTGAGTCTGCCATGTTCAAGGCTAGTGCCCGACCTGCTGTACTACCAACCAGAACCCCCAACCTCCACCCAATCTACATTTTTAATTTTTTTTGCCTTTCTGGGTCACACCCAGCATTGCACAGGGGTTACTCCTGGCTCTACACTCAGGAATTACCCCTGGCGGTGCTCGGGGAATCATATGGGATGCTGGGAATCGAACCCTGGTCGACTGCGTGCAAGGCAAATTCCCTACTCTCAGTGCTATGACCCTCCCACCCCCCCACCCCCCGCCCATCTACTTTCTAGCTTGGGAATTGAGCTGCTCTAAGAGTTCTTCTCCACGACCTGGGTCCCCCTCTGTAATGGGCAAGGGTTGTCTGCTGCAGTGAGTCTCGGGGTTCCACTGC